CAGGAGAGAAGGTGGCATTGGGGGACAGGAGAGGAGGTGACACCCCCCACACCCTCCTTCTTCCTCCTCAGGGTCCTTCTGGAGATCAAGGTGCTGCTGGTCCTGCGGGTCCCTCCGGTCCCAGGGTAAGGCCTGCCTGGTGGCATTTGGGGACAGGAGAGGAGAAGGTGGCATCTGGGGAAAGGAGAGGAGAAGGTGGCATCTGGGAAGGTGGCATTTGGGACAGGAGAGCAGAAGGTGGCATCTGGGGAAAGGAGAGAAGCTGGCATTTGGGGACAGGATAGGGGAAGGTGGCATCTGGGGACAGGAGAGGAGAAGGTGGCATTGGGGGACAGGAGAGGAGAAGGTGGCACCTCCATCCTTGAGCCCCCCGCCTCAACGATGGCTCCCCAGCACCTTCTCTGCTCTGGGGGAGGGTCTTACAACGACCTGACCCACCACCTCCCCCAAACTTTGGGCTCTTCTCGTAGGGTCCTCCCGGCCCCGTGGGCCCCTCTGGCAAAGACGGCTCCAACGGCATGCCCGGCCCCATTGGACCCCCTGGCCCCCGAGGACGAAGCGGAGAACCCGGTCCCGCGGTGAGTTAAAAACACCCTCGACGCACAGGGAAGGATGGGTGGTCCACCTCCTAGAGCAGCCCATCATGGATGGCATCTTCTTCCTCCTCTAGGGTCCTCCTGGAAACCCAGGTCCCCCCGGTCCTCCCGGTCCCCCCGGCACCGGCATTGACATGTCGGCTTTCGCTGGCCTGGGTCAACCGGAGAAGGGTCCCGATCCCATCCGTTACATGCGGGCGGACGAGGCGGCGGGTGGCCTGCGACAGCATGATGTGGAGGTGGACGCCACCCTCAAGTCCCTCAACAACCAGATCGAGAGCATCCGCAGCCCCGAGGGCTCCAAGAAGAACCCAGCCAGGACTTGCCGCGACATCAAGCTTTGCCATCCCGAGTGGAAGAGCGGTAAAGAGCCTCCATCTCTACCTCTTTCCCCTCCTCTCCCTTGTCCCCAAACCTTGAGGGGACAACCAAAACCACCATGCTCTTCGCCCTGACCTCAAAAACCTCCTCTTCACACACCCTTTGTCCCCTTCGTCACCACAGGAGACTACTGGATCGACCCCAACCAGGGCTGCACTTTGGATGCCATCAAAGTGTTCTGCAACATGGAGACGGGCGAGACCTGTGTCTACCCCAACCCCAGCAGCATCCCCAAGAAGAACTGGTGGACAAGCAAGACCAAAGACAAGAAGCACGTCTGGTTTGCCGAGACCATTAACGGCGGTTTCCACGTAAGCATCCCCACCGGGGCTGGGGGCTTTTCATCGGGAACGGGAAGGTTGAGCAGGGGGAAGGTGTTGGGGGTCTGGTTGGAGGGTTGGGATGTCCTTCCTCAGGGTTGTGTTGATGGACATTCTACCAGGAACTGTGTTTTGGAGGACTATATTGAAAGCTTGGAGTTGGGTCAGTTGGGCTGACTAGTTTTGGGAAGATACTTCTAGTTTTGGGAAGAGCAAGAGCAATTTTTAGGAGAAATACCCTGGAGATATTTAAAAGACGGGTTGACAGAGAGCTTAGAGACATGGTTTAGTGATGGGTTTTTACCAGAGTTAGGTTGATGGTTGGACTCGATGATCTTAAAAGGCTCTTCCAACCTAAACAATTCTACAATTCTATGATTCTAAGAAAAAATAGGGAAGTTCCCTCAAAAGATGGATGAAAATAGGGCCGTCGTGACGCCTCCTGGCTTTAACTTCTTGCCTCTTCCCTCCAGTTTAGCTACGGCGATGAAGACCTGGCTCCCAACACCGCCAACATCCAGATGACCTTCCTCCGCCTCCTCTCCACCGAAGGCTCCCAGAACGTCACTTACCACTGCAAGAACAGCGTGGCCTACATGGATGAGGAGACGGGCAACCTGAAGAAGGCCATCCTCATCCAGGGCTCCAACGACGTGGAGATCAGAGCCGAGGGCAACAGCAGGTTCACCTACAGCGTCTTGGAGGACGGTTGCACGGTGAGTCCATGGGAGAGAGAACAAGGTAGACGATGAGTCGGGATGGTCGTTGGTTCGGAAGGTTGAGGAACATCTAAAAACATCTTGTTTTCTGTGCTTTTTCTCCCCAGAAACACACGGGCAAATGGGGCAAGACGGTCATCGAGTACCGGTCGCAGAAGACCTCGCGCCTGCCCATTGTAGATATTGCACCTATGGACATTGGTGGAGCCGAGCAGGAGTTTGGGGTGGATATCGGCCCGGTCTGCTTCTTGTAAAAAAACCAGAAAGAAAAAGAGAAAATTGTTTTATTTGTGTGTTTGATTGTTGTTGGTTGTTGTTTTGTTGCCTTTTTTTTTTTCTGTTGTTTGTTTTGTTTTTTTTTTTAAAAATTTTCTCCTTGTACTTACTACAAGACTATAAACAGAAATGGATCAAATCTTTTCAGAGAGCTCTCCTTTATCAGTCTCTCCAGGACCTTGAATTCTGCCATCTCACAGTCACTAGAGCCAAAGCTGCCACTGATTATCACATCCAGAACTATTTTGTCTTGTTAGTAACAGATTCAGCTGTGGGTCAGCTCTGGTCCATCCAATGCCTGTATCAATAAATCTTGACTACCTGTGTCAATAATGGTGCTATTCTTGTAAAACGAGTCTGTATTTTTTAACATCAGTTGATATAAAAGTCAAAACAAAACAAAAAAAAAAACAAAAAAAAAAAAACAACTTTTGGTGGAAAATACGTGTCATTTCGGGCTTTGGGTTTTTTTTTTTTTTGTTGGCATTTGTTGCGGTCGGATCCCTTTCCCCCCCCATTTCTCAGGTTTTGGGTCAAATCTCCAACTTTTCTGGGTTGAGGGAACCTGAAACTAAGAGGAAAAAAAACCCAAAACCACCGAAACAGGTAAATCCCCCAAAAAGGCAAAAAAAAAAGGGAAGGGGAAGAGGATTTTAAGTGATAAATCTTGAACCCCCACAGCAGGGGGTTTCTCGTCCCCCAGTAAAACCAGTGGGGAGGGGGTTGCTGGGACCAGTCCTCACCCAAACCAGCACAGCCACGGCCAGGGGGGTGCCTCTAACCCCCCCTCCCCGCAGGATTTATCCCATTTTACATGTAAAAAACTACAATTTCAGGCCATATCTTGAAGGGGGGAGGGTTCGAGCCATCACGAGCTGCGCCTTTAGGCTTCATGAAAATTTACATATTCTCTTAAAAAGGCTGTTTAATTAGAGGAAAAGCCTCAGGAGTTGATTATTTTTTTAATATCTTCAAGAAAAAAATCCCCCAGTGACTCCCCAAGAGTTACCACGAGGTCTGAGTTTTAGGGACAGGGGAGTTTATGAGTCTCTCGACAGCTTTTTTTTGTTAAAAACCTCAGCTTTTTGCATCCCCCGATAGTGAGGGAACCGCAGCTTTTCATTAAGAGAAATGACAACTTTAAAGGATTAAAATAATAATAATAATTTTTAAAAAACCCTTTAAAAACCTGCTACTTTGGGGCCCTTGTCTGGATTTTAAGCACTCGCAGCTGGCGCCGGCTCCAGCTGAAGCACCTGAGGCAGCCCCTGGCTGGGATCTTTAAAAAAAAAAGAAAAACCTTCAACAACAAGAAAAAAAAAAAAAAAAAAAAAAAAAACCAAAACCAAAACAACCCCAATATTGGCAGAAAAAAATCATTAGGAAGGATTAAGAAGGATTTTCAAAAATAAACCGCCCCTTTAAAAGGCCAAGTGCTTTGCCACACCACCCGGGGGGCACCCCTTAATTATTAAAGCTCCGGCTCACCAAGTAATTTGGGGTAAAATTGCTCTGTTGAGCCAAGCAGGGGAGGTTTTGGGGTTCTAGTGAGCCCCCCCGCCCCCTTAAAAAAAAAAAGTCACCCAGTTAAAAATCAACCCTGCTGGTAGGATGTGGTCCTGAAGAGCAGGAGACATGGGTGGGGAGGGGGATGTTGGGGAGCAGGAGGTTGTGACACCCCAAGAGGGGAAACCATGGAGCAGGGGAAGGAAAGGGGCTGGATAAAGAGTGAAACTCGTGATTTCCTCATTTTCCTCAAAAAAAAGAAAGTTCAACTCATCATAAATGGGGGGAAAGGGGTTATGAAATGGGTTGAGAGGCTCATGATGGAGATGACCAGAGGTTTTGGTGGAGATGGCCACCAAAAACAGGGTGACTGGTCCTGGAGGTGACACCGGGAAGGGCTTGGCTGCTCCCCCAGATGAGGGTTTTGGGGCCCCGTCCCCCAAAAATCATCACAGAGAGAGGACACCACGGAGTTAACTCCAGCAAAGAGTTGAAAACTCCCCAAAGTTTGATTTCCACAGGAGAAAAACCAGAGCTTTTCTTCCAACAAGGTACAACTCCGCTTTAATAAGTAGAATTCAGTTCTAGAAACCCCATCAGAGGGAAAAATGCCCCCTCTTAATAAAAAACAAGGTGCATTTTTTTATTTCACACACAAAATAAAGTATCTTTCATTGAAAAACCCCTCGGGATTTGTTTCCCCACGGCTTTTACCTGCGCTTTGTTTCCACACACACACACCAGGCAGCCGGAGGAGGGAGGAAATGAATCAAATTCCCCCCCCAAAAAACCTACAAAAGGCAACAGCAGAATGAAATTCTCCAACTCAAAGGGGGTGAGAACCATGCAGGGCCGAGCTCTCCCAGTTATTGGCTTAAAGAACAGGGTTGAGACCGTGGGGAAGGGGCAGCTCCCAGGAGGGAAAGCCTTGAGAAACACCAAAATCCCACAAAAATCCCTTTAAATCCAGCAGGGACAAGGACAAAGCGACCACGAGCCCTGAGTTCCCGGGGAGGAGGAGTAGGAAGGAAGTCAGATTCACACAGAGCCTTCGTGTCCTTGTTAAGGACGGTGGCATTTCAATGTCCTTTGCTGTAGGTGGCCTCAGCCACCAGCAAATAAAAAACCCCAGCTCAGAGGGAGCGCGTTCCGAGGGTTTCCGATTCCTTTTACCTCCTTCTAGCTACAAGTGACAAGAGGCTGAAGCCTCATCTCCGCCTTCCTTAAAAGGATTAATCCCTTTTTTCTTTTTAATCAAGCCCCACTTGGAAAGGAGCCAGCATAGCGAGATGCCGCCACCGACCCAAAAAAAGTGGAATAAATTAATGAGTTTCCCCCTGAAAGGACCCGACGCCGGCCCCAAAGCTTCCCAAATGGCTGTGAAAGTCAACTCTAAAAATCTTTGGGATCTTCAAACCCCAAAGCACAAAGCTCAAAAATACTGTTTCCCTACCAAAAAGTAGCTCTGAGGGAAGCGGGAACAGCAGGACCCTGACTTTTTTGGGGGGAACCCAGGTGTTTGCACATAAATAACACCCCTAGGTGGCTCCGTGGACAGACCAGCAGCACGGAAGGGACCTGGAGCTTTCAAATATCTCCCACCAAAGTCACTCGTGCTCCTTCTGCTTCCACTGGGAAGTTCCTCGTCCCTTCGGCTGCGCCCTCAGGGCTCGCTCTTGGCTTTGGGGGCTAGCAGAGGCAGGGGGTCGAGGGCGACCGTGGAGTTGGAGCTACAATCCACGTAATGATAGGTCTCCAGAGCGCTCTGCGTGACATGGCCGATGTAGGAGAGCTTCACCGAGGTCCTGGGAGGGGGGAAAAAAGGGCAGTTTAGGGAGGACAAGACCAATGACAGCAATATCTCCATCAAAATTTAACCCCTGGGAGGTTTAAGGCTCATCACACAACTCCTCCTGCCCTTAGGAAGCTGCAAAACCTCAGGGTTTTGCTCAACGGGCAGGAAAATTGGGGTTGAATTGGGGTCCACCTGGCCACCAGAATGCCCAGGAGCCAGCAATGTGGTGGCCAGGAAAGCCAACGGCATCCTGGGGGGCATCAGGAAGAGCGTGGAGAACCTCAAGGGAGGTCATCCTGCCCCTCTGCTCTGCCCTGGGGAGGCCCCAGCTGGAGCACTGGGACCAGTTCTGGGCTCCCCAGTTCCAAAAGGACAGGGAACTGCTGCAGAGAGGACAGCAAAGGGCGACAAAGATGATGATGGAGCAGCTCCCTGATGAGGAAAGGCTGAGGGACTTGGGGCTTTTGGGGCTGGAGAAGAGAAGGCTGAGGGGGGATCTCATCAAGGGTGGAGGTCAGGAGGAATGGGCCAGTCTTTTTCCAGTGGTGCCCAGTGACGGGACAAGAGGGAACAGGCACAAACTGGGACATAAGAAGTTCCATCTCAACACGAGGAGGAACTTCTTGACTTTGAGGGTGGCAGAGCCCTGGCAGAGGCTGCCCAGAGAGGTGGTGGGGTCTCCTTCTCTGGAGACATTCAAACCCCACCCCGAATGAATCCAACCTGCTCTGGGTGACCCTGCTCTGGCCAGGGGTTGGACTGGATGATCTCCAGAGGTCCCTTCCAACCCCATAACACTCACTGATTCTGTGCCAAGCTTTCCCCCCCCCGCCAAGGGAAAGCTCAGTGTGGATCTGTCCGGTGTCTTCTCCTCTCCCTCCTACATTTCACCCCACGGTGTCAACCAGCTGGGATGAAAAGCCGACATGGTGAAGGGGGCTGGGATTTTTTCCATGTACCCGAAGTTCTGCTGCGGCAGCGATTCCCCATTTGAGTCAGGAGCTCAGCAGAGAACCACCCACCTCATGAAGATGACGATGTTATGGACCTTCACCTTCGGAAACGTGCAAAACAGACTGGAAGAGACCAAAAAAAAACCCAGAGAAATATACGTCAGTGCAGGGTTGTAGAGAAACACACATTTCTCGGTGTTTTCTGATGATATTTTCCCTCCAGTGTTCACTCAACCCGAGACCTGGTGCCTCCAAAAAGCCACGTCACGACATCCCGACAAAGCGGCCTTTCAAGTCATTTCGAGCAAACAGTCACTTTCCAGGAAGTTAAGATTAAAAACGAGTCATTTACAGGCAAATTCTAATTAAAGTGGCTGAAACCTGCCCTCTCCCCAGCTACACACACAGAGCGGTAAATCCTTACTACATGTAGGAGAAAGGTCCTCCCAGCTCTGCCTTCACGGTGAAGTTCACCTGTAAAAGATAAAAGAAAAAAAATACATTCATATCCTGCTTATATCCACCCTTTTTGGAGTTTTTCCCCACCTTTCAGCATAAAGCTGAGGCTACTCCAGCCATCAGAATATTTTACCAAGCCAAACTTTAAAGGTTTTAAGACTATAATGGAGTTAACTCGCCGTAGGGATGGGTTTCACACTGGATTTGGTGACTTCAAGGCGCAATGAAAGGTGAATACCAGTTTGTCACTCCGTGGCTGGATGCTGGAGACGTTGGTGATCTGCTGGGTGCCCACCACAGTGTTCATGTATTGCACCTGACTGGTCAGACTGGTCACCGTCACCGAGTAGAAGTTGGAGTTCCTGATCCGTAAAGTGGCCTGGGTGGAAAGAGGTGGGGGGAGAGAGGGGTAGCAGCAACCTTCCATGGAATTTAGTCACTCAGGAACACAGAAAGATGAAAAAAAAAGAGTTGTACCGTGATGGCGAGAATGACAACGGAGTTCTTCTTGTCAAACCAGACCCGAACCACTTTAATCCCACCATCATCCACCAGGACGGAGTGGGGGAAAAGGAAGAAAACCACCAGCCCAGAGACCAGCAGGCAGAGCAGCACCGAGAGCAGGACGTAGAGTTTCCTGGAAAGGCAGGGAAGGGGTCACCTCCTGCGCCCCAACCCAGCATCTGCCACCCCAAGAGGCCTCCTCTCCCAAACCCACCCCAGCCAGCAAACAAATCCCATTTATTCTTCCCCGGAAGGGACCCAGAAGCGCCGCTCTAACGTTTTCAATATGTGAAATTACTCAAAACTGTCACCCTTTAAAGAGTTTTTTTGGCAAGGAGGAACCAAAGGATGATTTTTTTTGCCCCCATCGTGTTTTCCCAACCTGGCGTTTGCGCTGTCAATCAAGGGGTTTCTTTCTAAAAGCTCCAGGGATGAAGTCTGTGAGTAGGGTCATTGTTTCCACCTTCACACCACGGTGGGATTTCACAGGAAGCATTTAAAACTTACACTCCCGCTGTATTTGTTGGCAGGCCGAGATGAAAACAAACCCACCAGATGAAGGGGAGGCCGCAGCCTGGCTGAAGCCTTCACTTGTGGCAGTTAAGTGACAAAAGAGCCCTCTGTTTGCTCTTCACAAAATGCAATTTTCTCTCTCTCTCTACACACTCACGTTCTCTGGGGACGGAGCCGTTGGTCGCTGTAGGGTATCAGAGCCACCAGCTCATTGACCTGCTCTGGAAAGCAAACGGAACATGTTAATTCATTTTAGACGTTCATTAGGGTGGCTCAGGGAAATAATGAAGGTTCTCTTTCTGTAATCAGGCCTGAGAGGAGTAATTACCTGTGGGGATGCAGCCCGTGCCTTGGCAAGTGGGGCAGGTGATGCTGTCCTGCCCCGTGAATTCAACATAGGGAAACTTGGCGATGTCCTCCACGCGGTCTCGGCTATCGAGCAGGTCATCATCATCATCCTCAGCCTCCCTCCTCCGCCTGGAGGCAGGGTCGTTAATGGAGAGGGAAAGCACAGAACCCATTGCAGCTGCTGTAGAAGAGCCACATAACCTATGGCAGGTGCAGAAAAGGCAGCCCTGGTCATTAAAAGGGTTTTTCCACCTGCTTCTGGCCAAAGAAACCCTGAACAACAGGGAACAACCCTCCCCCCCCGGAGACCCACATCCCCAACACCCCCTGGAGAAACACCCCCCCACAGAAACACCCTCCTAGGGGCCCCAACACCCACCCCAGCCAGCTGCCCCCCTCAGGAGTGACTTCCTCAGCACGCTACAAGGAGGGGCACCCCAGCAGGGGCTCATTTCCACACAGCCCCTCAAAACAGAACCCCCCTCCCCCAGAATCCAACAGCCTCCACAGAGACAGACCTACACCCCTACACCTACTCCCCCAAAAGAGAAACACAGCCGCCTCCACCGACAGCCATAGTTTCTTAGGCAACCCCAACAAACAGACAGCCCCTTCAGGGGCCTACCTGCCCCCCCCCACAAGCAGAAACACCCCCTCCCAAAACAGCCCCTCATAACCCCCTGAAAAGGGAATGCTCCCCACAGGGAGCTGCCCCATAAGCCTCTCGTGCGGGACATCCCCTCATAGACCCCCCCCAGCCAGAGGAGACCCCTAAACCCACCCTCAGGGCCCCCCCCAAGGCCTAGCACAGCCTCTCAGACCCGCCGCCGCGGCCTGGCCTCCTCCCGCGCAGCCGCCGTCGCTATGACAACGCCGCCCGGCGGCGGCGGGCGGAGCCAACTCCTAGCCCCGCCCCTCCGCCGCTTGCGCAGGCGCACAGAGCGCAGGGCGGGATTCCAAAGGGCCCGCCCCTTCGCTACCGCCCCGCCCAATGAGACGCCCGCTTGGAGGGGAATGGGCGGGGCTTTGAGGGCACCGCCTCGCCCCGCCCGGGCGTGCCGCTTCCTTCAGTGCGCATGCCGGGGGGCGGTGCCTGCGCCCCGCCCTTTTTGGCGAGGCTGGGGGGCGTGGCCGGAGCTGCGCATGCGCCGGGGGCTGCGAGGGGGGTCTCCAGGTGGGCGGGGCGATCCCAGGGTGGGCGTGTCCTCGTGCGCGTGCGCACTGAGCGCCCCGCCCCTTTCCCACGCGGGAGGGACGTGTCCCAGGGTGGGCGTGTCCTGCGCGTGCGCGGGAAAGGGGCGGGGCGGAGCGCGCATGCGCGGGAGGGGAGGGGTGGGGGGAGCCGGTGGCAGGGTCTCTGGGACCAGTATGGACCCCCTCAAATACCAGTATGGGGTCACGGAGCCAGCACGGGCACCGGCCGCACCAGTAGGGAGGGCTCCCGACCCATTATGGAACCCCATCCCCACCAGTATGAGGGTCTCTGCCCCAGTATGGAGCCATCCCACACCAGTATGATGGCTCCTGTCCCAATATGGACCCTAACCCCACCAGTATGAGGACCTCCGTCCCAGCATGGACCCTACCCACACCAGTATGATGGCTCCCGTCCCAGTATAGACTCTACCCCCACCAGTATGAGGGTCTCTGTCCCAGTATGGAACCTCCCCACACCAGTATGACGGCTCTCACCCCAGTCTGGAGCTTTCTTACACCAGTATGAGGACCCCTATCCCAGTATGGAACCCACCCACACCAGTATGAGGGTCTCTGTCCCAGTCTGGAGCTTTCTCACACCAGTATGAGGACCCCTATCCCAGTATGGAACCCACCCACACCAGTATGAGGGCCCTCATCCCAGTATGGAGCTTTCCCACACCAGTATGAGGTTCTCTGTCCCAGTAGTGACCCTACCCACACCAGTATGAGGCCTCCCGACCCAGTATGGACCCTACCCCCACCAGCATGAGGGCTCTTGTCCCAGTATGGAGCTTTCCTGCACCAGTATGGGGTCACCCAACCCAGTATGGTCCCCACCCCCACCAGCATGAGGCTGTCTGTCCCAGTATGAATCTCCCACACCAGTATGAGAGCCTCTGTCCCAGTATGGAGCCTTTCCACACCAGTATCAGGACACCTGAGCCTGTGTGGAACCTTACCACACCAATATGTGGGCACCCGTCCCAGTATGGACCCCGCCCCCACCAGTATGAAGGGTCACAGTCCCACTGTGAAACATTCCCCCACCAGTATGAGGGTCTCTGTCCCAGTATGGACCCTACCCACACCAGTATGAGGACCCCTATCCCAGTATGGCGATTTCCCACACCAGTATGTGGGCACCCGTCCCAGTATGGACCCCACCTCCACCAGTATGAAGGCTCCCACCCCATACTGGTATTATTTCCTCCAGAGCCGCTCTCCCCGTCCTCGTCGATGGAAACTTTACGGATCATTTATTTTCTCCTTCCCAGGAGCCAAATCCCGGGGAGTGGGAGGTTTTTTCGGCTCCCTCCCCCCCCTTGCCCCCCCACTAATTACCTAATTGCTTAATTGTGAGCTGTGCACCCCTGAGGAAGGTGCTGGGAGTGGGATGGCCTCCCCCCTGGAGGAGGATGGCACCGTGGATGGGGGCTGCAAAGGGGGTGTTGGGAGGGGATGGGGAGCCCCCCCCCCGACAAGATGCTCCCAGGGTTTATTAAAGGTCCCCTAAACCCCAAAATCCCTCCCTCCCCGAGAAAATGAGTCCCCCCCCAAACGATGAGAGGTTCTCAGGGTTTATTAAAGGTCTCCTAAATGCAAAAATCCCGCCCCCCCCCCGAGAAAACGAGCTCCCCCATTGCAATGTTCCCAGGGTTTATTAAGGGTCCCCTAAACCCAAACATCCCGCCCTCCCCCCAGGAAGATG